AGCCTGGATCGATGATGACTGGATTAGAATGTCGTCCAGGTATCACTGGACTCTGACTGGTACCATTCTCAGGTGAGCTGCTAGAACCGCCAGGATCTTGATAAAGACTCTCGGAGCCAAGGATAGGCCGAACGGAAGTGCCCTGTACTGATAATGGTGTCCCCTGTGGGCAAATTGTAGAAACCGGCAGTGGGTGAGACAGATGGGGATGTGAAGGTACACTTCCATGAGGTCGATGGACATCAGGAAGTGCCCCCTTCTTATGCTTCCCATAAGACTGGAGCATTTGCATGGACTGGAGCATTTGCATTTGAGCATTTGAGGTGATGAATGGCCTCTTGCATGAGTCTTTTCTTTGTTGGATTTCTTAGCTGGGGACAAGAAATGAAGCGATTCAGGGTTTGGAGATGAACTCCAGGGACAGTCCATGACGCACGGTGTTTAGGACCCATGCATCCGTGGTGGTGGCTTCCCACTGGCGGGCAAAGAGAGTCTGCCCCCGATGGGAGGATCTGCCTGAGAGTCACCTGGATTGGTGGAATGGGCGGCCGCTCCTGCGAAAGGGCCTTTTGCCCTGAAATTGTTGCCTGGGTCTGGAAACCTGTCTGTCAGATTGTCTGTCCTGTCTGATAGGGAAAGACCAGTTGGGCTGGGAATAGTTGGACCTAACTCCTGCGTGAAAGGACTGCCTCCGTGAGTAGGTGTTGGGACGTTTGTCTGATCATTTAAGGAGGTGATTAAGGACCTTACATTTATCCTTATTTTCAGTGAGGTAAGGATTCAGGGCTTCACCAAACAATTTTCTTCCCTGATAAGGGGCTGCTGATAAGCGCCATTTGGACTTGGAGTCAGCATGCAAGTGTTTTAATCAGAGCATATGGCGGCCAGTGACGTTGGATGCCATGGCTCTGGAGGAAAATCTGGCGGCCTGGAGGGTGGCATCGGAAGCATACTCTGTAGCCGCCACCATCTTACTCAGATCTTGATGCGTGCAGATATCCTCCATCGGTATCCTGGCCTGAAGCTGTCTAAGCCAGCAGAAAGCAGACCTGTTAAAAAAGGATGCAGAGGTAGCTGCTCTCATAGCCCATGTCACAGCTTGATGTGTTCTGTGGTAAGAGAGCTCACATTTACGGTCCTCAGCCTTGAGGGCCTCAGAAATGTTGCCAGGAATGACAGTTGGATACACAAGGGGACCTAAAGGTTCATCTACCGCAGGCACCTCCAGAGCCTCCTCCAGGTCATGGGCCACATTATAAAGCCTTTTCTCATTGCTACTTGGAAGGGGAAAAGAGGCCGGGGATATCCACTGCTTTTGGACCGCGTTGAGGAACATGGGTGGGCAAGGAATGCGATATTGTGTTGTTACCAGTTTGGTGAAATTCGGATCCGCCTCCGAGTCTGGAGTATCTGAAGTTGCCGGTGTGGAAGGATCGGGTCTGAGATGTGCCGTAGAAGTGGCCTTGCAAAGCAGGGGGACAAAAAAAGAATGGTTAAAGAGACCGCTAAGTGATGGTGTCTCGGGGGGGGGGTCCTCCTCCTCAGACATTGGAATCTCCAGATCAGCCTCATACTCGCGAGATGACGAGTCCCTGGAGTAGGTGGACTGAGAAGGGGAAGAAGGCACGCGATAGGACTCAGTGGCCAGCTGGTGAATGGGTAGAAAGTTGACTGCGGCTGACCTAGTCACTTGTGATCTGGCCTCAAGGGCGCGCTCTACCGCCTGTGCAATCATCTCAGCTAGGCGGTCCTCCGTGGGAAGGGAGACCGGTTCACTCGACCTAAGCCCAGCCGCAGTAAGGGTGAAAGTAGCTTCAGGGGCCATGTGTTGAGCCCATGAAGCGGAGGACTGAGCGATGGGATGAACCCGGTCCATGTCCCACAGTGCAGGAGACAGGAAAGGTTCCCCTGTTGACCATATCCCCAGGGGAGAAGCGGAAGGCCCCAGGGGTAGATCAAAGGAAGGCACTTTGGCCTGTGAGATCTCCAACCTGGCTAGTTTCTGTGCTTTAGAGAATTCCTTCTCTAGGGCTTGGTGTCTCCTGCTGGCCTGTTTTTCAGCTCCCTTGGAGTTCTTTGAGGTAGACCTGGACTTGGCCTTGGCCAAGATCTTACCTGCGGCCTCTTGATTAAAGGATTTGTGGCGTTTTGCAGTCGAGGAGGACGGCAAGATGTCTTTTGTGGAGGGCCTAGAATCCTCCATTCTCAGGTAACACAGGAGCACGATAGGGGATGCCTGGTATCCGGAGACAGCTATTGGTTGGATAAGAACAGGCACACTATAGGGGATGCCTGGAATCCAGACAGAGCTGATCGTGTGGATAAGAACAGGCGCATGGTAGCGGACGCCTGGTATCCAGAGACAGGTATTGGTTGGATAAGAACAGGTGCACTATAAGGGATGCCTGGAATCCAGATAGAGCTGATTGTGTGGATAAGGCATGGTAGGAGATGCCTGGTATCCAGACAGAGCTATTTGTGTGGATAAGAACAGATGCACTACGGAGGGCGCCTGGAACCCAGATAGAGCTGTTCGTGTGGATAAGAACAGGCGCACGATAGGAAACGCCTGGAATCCAGATAGAACTGATTGTGTGGATAAGAACAGGCGCACAGTAGGGGACGCCTGGTATCCAGACAGAGTTGTTTGTGTGGATAAGAACAGATGCACAATAGTGGACGCCTGGAACCCAGATAGAGCTGTTAATATGATTAGGCCCAGGATCACAATAGGGTAATCCTAGTTTTCAGGGAGACCTGGAGACATCAAAAACCCAGAAATTGAATCCTGTTAAGCAGGCTATAAAATGCATATATTACAGACCTGAGTGGCTGTGGAGATCAAATACTGACTGAGGTCTGACAAGCCTTGGAATGATGTTGAGGGAAAGATCCAAAATGGCTGCCCACCTCTAGGTGACACCACTGATTAGCCAGGTAAGGTTGTATTTAGAGCAGATGAAGAAAGTAGGCCTGAGGAGTCTAGTAGGCCTGTTCTGAGGCAACAGTGGCTGTGCAGGGTCCCTGTGCAAAGTGAGGCTCCAGGGGCATCAAATGGTGGCTGCAGGGGAGAAAAGAGCATAGAGCAGGCCCCAAGATGGTGGCCTCAAGAAAGACCCAGTCCCAATAAGGAACACAAAAAGGAGGCCACACCCAAAAAGGCTGCCACACTCAAAATGGCCACCACTCAAAATAGCGGCCGCATGAGGTCTGGGGGTATTGCTGCCGGCACCCCCTTCCACCCTCATGAAGAAAGGCTGGAAAAGAGGTAATCGGCCTTCCAAACACGTGCCAACTGCAAACGGCTGTTTTTAGCCTTTGCGTGTGTCCGGAGGCTTTTCCAGGCAATGGGAACTGTGGAGGGCTGAGGAACAGCACTGAGCCCAGTGCTGTCCAAGAGGAGAAGGAGGGCTGTGTTACCGAGGGGAAGGAAGTCCCCTTAGCCTCAAGCCTTTATGGTTGGAAGTGGGGGGGAGGGGGAGGAACGAAAGCCTCCGTTCCCAGTTAAAGGCAAATAGTTCTTCAGCCAACTGAGAGGAAAAACACAGTGCTGAATACAGCACTGTCTCAGAATACTGAAGAGAATAGAGAATAAAGAATCCACCAATGGAAACTGTACCTGCCTAAGAGCCAACTTGCTATGTCTGTCTTGGGCAAGATCAAGTCGAGACTGGGACACTCTAGCCCAGGACAGGCGTTGCAACTTTGGCTGACTTGATCTGATTGGGCAGGAACACAGTCTAAACCCATTCGTGGATTCTCCATCTCCAGTGCTGGAGAAACAAGTTTTAGCTTAACATTGCAAAATTACCTAGAAGTTTAGGCTTCATTATAAGCTTTTTGGTTAAAAAAAAAAGCTTTATTAAGAAAATTGCATGGAGGTATTGATTTGATCTTGATTTGAGAAGTTCTTTTGATCAAATTCTCTGCTACTCTAATATTTGGAACCAATATCCGTTTGCACATGCAAAAGTCCATGTCATCCTTTTCTCCCTTTGCTCTGCCCTTATGTTCAGACAGTGACAACAACAAAGATACAGACCATCAGTCTTCACCAGTTTTATTTTTCCCAATCAGAAATGTGGTTTTAGCCCAACGCTAAATGAGTTGGCAGATAAGACAAAGATACAAAGCTAACTTTTTTGTGTACAAATTGATAGATCTTAACTGGAATTTCATGCTACAGAACTACAATAATTTTTGACCAGCTTTATGGCTCAGGAATAAGCTCCAATGTGCCCTTGGCAACCACCATTTTATTAATGAAAAAGAGGACTAGCAAGCTGAAATATTACATCTTTTACATTATATTTATTTTCAAGGATATTACCCCCAAAGGCATTTCTCGAAAACAAAAACAGTAGGTGGCTATAGGATCATTGTTTTATTTGGAAGCATGCATAACCCCTTAGCAAAAATGTAGATAAGCTAAAGTGGTGGAGATTGGGTGGGATGGATAGGAAAGTTAGAAAGGGTAGAAGGAAGCAACCATATCAGACTGTCTTCTGTAATTAGCAATGTCTATTACAGAAACTCTTTTGTTAATTAGGAAGCTTCTCCCTTCCTTTAATCACCATTTTATGAAAAAGCTCATGACATGCCCTTAGACTATAATGTATCCATTAGTCCAAACTAAATTGCATGCTCCTATGCTAGCTATAGGTCAGTCATACAGACTATTCTCTCAGATGAGGTAGTCATGAGCAACGTTTGAGACATTTTTATTTTTGCTGGCTTAAAAACATATTGTTAATGTATCTTACACTAGCAAATAGTGTACGATGAAATGCATATATTGTCCATTGGCAATGTTTTGGTGAAATTGCAATACATCTTTAGGAAGAAAGTGAAAGAAATGCAAAACACTGACCATAAATCCTTCCATCATTTAAAATAATCTGCAACAACTCATTTACAATAGAACAATACAGAGCAATCAGTATAGAGCAATAGCAACAATAATACAATAACTCATGTAGAATCAACATTAGGATACTTACAAAAAGCAGTAGGAGCAAAGGAGTTATAACAATGCCCTGAAAGAAATCAAGAAACATATTTGGTTATAAATAGATGTTACTATTTGCTACATCAAACGTCAATGCAGAAAACCTCATGGAACCTCCTCCAAAGTATCTAGATATTTACTTATGAACTCAATATAATGTTGTTTTATGATAGAACAGGATCATTTGAGATAATACAGCACAGGTCCCCCAATGTTAATCCTGCAGGAATATTGAGAATTTTTAACCAGTTATGACCTGTAATGTTGGATACCATACTTCCAGTATTTTTGAAGACATCAATTTTGGACAAGTTATTATACCAGTTTTTACCAAGTTTATATATAGACTTCTTTAACATCTTTGTGAGCAAGGACATTTCAGACTCATACACAGATTAAGGAATTGTGAATGATCTATATTAATTGCAAGTTAGTTATGTCTTCAAGATTAATTCTTCAACTTCTAACATAGACATCTCTTTGCTTCTTAGATGTACTCCATAAATATGCAAGTTGTAGAACCTTCCATGCTTAATAAGCAGGCCCTAACCATAAAGGGGACAGGTGGCTTACTATCTTATTGTCTGAGCTATGGCCCTCTCCTGAGTAAAGTCTGCATCAACTGTGATGAATTAGGTGTCGTGTGATTTTGTAATGTAAACTGATATCCCCTAGGAAGTGAGCTGGTATCTCAGAACTCATTTCACTTGATTAGACTCTGTGTCTCCATGGTGGGAAGGCAAGTCTTTCATCTAATTTAGTCACACAGGACCACTTCAGCTCTCCGCATCCCTGAGGCAAAGGAAGGAAAAAGATTTGTTTTCTTCAGTGACAGCAAAGAGGTTTAAGGCTGATCACTGGGCATAAGACAAGTTTTTAAGCCTCAGGATTTTAGGACTGGAAGATAACATGCCAAACATCGTCTTTACATCAGCAAATGTCAATTCTCTCTTTGCACACTCAGTACTTAATAATGAATTAACAAAAGCAGTTTATTACTCAATGAATATTAATTCAGTACCATAAGCAGCTCTTCCCTTCAAGGCTATTTTCTCTAAACAATTATTAAATATAGTTTTCTAAATATAAATATGCTAATGTGTTATCACTTTAAAATATAATTAAATTTTTTTTTTATTTTAGAGAAATTCAGAAGTGATCCACATCCTTTGATTTAAGTTTAAATTCCACCTCCGACATAACTCTTTCCTGCTTTACTTTGGTTTTCTATTTTTAGTCCATCCATTTATAAAGAAAACTTTTATACCTTTCCCTTCAGAGGATTCTTGTTAGAAATATGAAATAAAATTTTATACAAAACATATAGACACAATGGGGTTTTGAGGCAGGATAAACTATACGCTTAAAACAAATAAATAAAACCTATTTTTTTATACAATTCCAAGACTCTTGATTGTAGATCAAGCCAAAATATCTTAATGTAAGGATCTATAGAAACCTTAATTCCTCTGGAAGAAAGACTGAGGTTCCTTTCAATTTAAATTTTTATTTATGAATAGTTTAAAATACAATATTTTCCCCAATTTCCAAGAAGAAATGCACTTTCTAGTGTCCTGGCCAATGCATGGCAAGTAACTGACCAGCACTAGATTCTTATTATGTTGAATTTTATATAATTTAAAAATGATTAATTACAGTTATATAAGTCTGAAATCATTAAACTCCCATGTTCTTGCTTTTCTACACAACTTCTGTATGTAAGCATCCTTATTTGTTTGAATACTACTTTTTTATCTTTTGCTTTCCCCAAGCAATGGCAAAAAAAATTTTCCTTCCACCCTTTGTTATCCTTACAATCACTAAGGTATCATTATATAAAGTGATAATGATTTTAATGCCTCTTCATTTCAATCTGCATTTCCAATCTCTAGATCATATTGATTCTTGTTTTTAGTTTCCCTCATTATAACATCTTACAATGAAATGGAAACAACACTATAATTACTCCCTTCCTTTGAAAGCAAAGTCTTTCTCAGAAGAGTAGAGTGGAACTCAAACTTGTGCTAATACACTTCCACTAGTGAATAGGGCTTCCTTTTCCACTGCCCAACTTCAAGTTCTTGAGAGCTACACAACTGTGTCCAATTTTTCACATTTTTTTAAAAGAAAAATGAAGTTAAAACTATAATTAAAAAATGTATGGGATAAAATATGAAAATTTTGGAAAAATCATTTGTTGGACAAAGTGTAAAGATATGCACTGCTTGAGTAAAAACTAGTTTACTTTTTTGGGGGAGCCCATTTTTATTGTCTAACATCACTACGCACATTTTAGATCTTTTTAAATAATCTTTTATCTACATGAAAAGACAGAGATGTAGAAGAGTGAATGTGCATATTTTGTTGGAAGTCAGACAATACCAGTAGAAAATAAAGGTTATTTAGAAATTCTCCACTTATACTTTAGTCCTGTACGTTTCCAGATTAGTAAACTGAAATACATTTCCCAGTAAATACAGAGGGATCTTTGTTGCTTCTGCATTATAACTGTACAGTAGCAATGTTTTAAATAAACAAGGAAATATACAGTAAAGGGATGATCTCATTTCCATCCCGTGGCACAAGGGGAAAAAAAAGAAAAATAAATCCATTCTATAAACTTCAACTTGGCTGCTTTGGTGCAAGTGCTGTCAAACATGCAGCATACAGAAATGCTGTGTCGCAGCATTTCTTGGCACAAATTGAACATCTGCCCTTGCAGAGGCAAGGTCATTGAACAGCAGAGCATTCACAAAGTTGGGGTGGTATGTTAAGCTCTCTGATGCAGCCCATAATGGAGTAGAAGTTGTGAAGTGATTGCTTTTTACCATTCAAAAAAAAAAAAAACCCCTTTCAAGAAATCCATTTACACCTCTGATGTGAAAGACTGACGGAATATATTTCAATGATTTTAGTGGGAAAGAGGAAAAGGAAAAAAATTCACGGCCTGACCCAAAATACTCATGCAAAGAATGGCTCTGCATAGCAGCAGTCACATCGGAACCTGCAAATGCACTTTTCTTTACAACGAGGATCATTTAACATGTCATATTTTAGAAAACCAGTTAGACATTTCTAAAAGGAAAACTTGTGTCGAAGAATAACTTTTTGCTACATCTTCTCTAGAAGATCAAATCAACTTATTTCAGTTTCAAATGTTAACTTAGATACAGGAAAGAAAGATGGTTAGTTTTCAAACATATAATACATTACTAATTTGCCAAACTAGTCAGTAGTGAAAAACATAAATAATTTTAAAGCCACAAGCCACAACAATTAGTTATTTAGCAATGAATTATTCTAGCTTATTTTGTACTACTTCTTCCAAGATAATATACATATATATACACACATACACATGTAAACATAATCAAAACACTACAAGTTACTTCAAAAAAATTAAGAATTTAAAAAAGCTACTGTTATAAATGGAGATAAGGAATTAATATTAATGTTATTTTCACTATTTACAGTGAATTGTAAACATTTCACATACAGTGGGGCAAAAAAGTATTTAGTCAGCCACCAATTGTGCAAGTTCTCCCACTTAAAAAGATGAGAGAGACCTGTAATTGTCATCATAGGTAGATCTCAACTATGAGAGACAAAATGAGAAAACAAATCCAGACAATCACATTGTCTGATTTGGAAAGAATTTATTTGCAAATTATGGTGGAAAATAAGTATTTGGTCACCTACAAACAAGCAAGATTCCTGGCTCTCACAGACCTGTAACTTCTTCTTTAAGAGGCTCCTCTGTCCTCCACTCATTATCTGTATTAATGGCACCTGTTTGAACTTGTTATCAGTATAAAAGACACCTGACCGCAACCTCAAACAGTCACACTCCAAACTCCACTATGGTGAAGACCAAAGAGCTATCGAAGGACACCAGAAACAAAATTGTAGACCTGCACCAGGCTGGGAAGACTGAATCTGCAATAGGCAAACAGCTTGGTGTGAAGAAATCAACTGTGGGAGCAATAATTAGAAAATGGAAGACATACAAGACCACTGATAATCTCCCTCGATCTGGGGCTCCACGCAAGATCTCACCCCATAGAGTCAACATGATCACAAGAATGGTGAGCAAAAATCCCAGAACCACACGGGGGGACCTAGTGAATGACCTGCAGAGAGCTGGGACCAACGTAACAAAAGCAACCATCAGTAACAAACTACGCCGCCAGGGATTCAGATCCTGCAGTGCCAGACGTGTCCCCCTGCTTAAGACAGTACATGTCCGGGCCTGTCTGAAGTTTGCTAGAGAGCATTTGGATGATCCAGAAGAGGATTGGGAGAATGTCATATGGTCAGATGAAACCAAAGTAGAACTGTTTGGTAGAAACACAACGCGTCGTGTTTGGAGGAGAGAGAATGCTGAGTTGCATCCAAAGAACACCATACCTACTGTGAAGCATGGGGGTGGCAAAGGGACCAGGACGACTGATTTCTCTGCAAAGGGACTAGGACGACTGATCCGTGTACAGGAAAGAATGAATGGGGCCATGTATCGTGAGATTTTGAGTGCAAACCTCCTTCCATCAGCAAGGGCATTGAAGATGAAATGTGGCTGGGTCTTTCAGCATGACAATGATCCCAAATACACCACCTGGGCAACGAAGTAGCTTCATAAGAAGCATTTCAAGGTCCTGGAGTGCCCAGCAACAGCCCCAAAACATCACTGCTCTAGAGGAGATCTGCATGGAGGAATGGGCCAACATACCAGCAACAGTGTGTGCCAACCTTGTGAAGACTTACAGAAAACGTTTGACTTCTGTCATTGCCAACGAAGGATATATAACAAAGTATTGAAATGAACTTTTGATATTGACCACATACTTATTTTCCACCATAATTTGCAAATAAATTCTTTCCAAATCAGACAATGTGATTGTCTGGATTTGTTTTCTCATTTTGTCTCTCATAGTTGAGGTCTACCTATGATGACAATTACAGGCCTCTCTCATCTTTTTAAGTGGGAGAACTAGCACAATTGGTGGCTGACTAAATACTTTTTTGCCCCAC